TTGTTCACGACATCCTTACTGGCGAATGTTTGTCCAACGCATCCTCGCTATTGATTCCTCACCAAAAGGGGTCCTTCCTTACGTTCCCTGGATCCAGGTATCCTGCCTGAGGTGTGACTGATAAACTTGCCCTTACCAAGGGCAAAACGATAAGTGGAAAGCTTACTAAGGGCCTCCTGCTCCAACCGATCTCTAGCAACGGCCCCAGTTGAGGCTAGCGCATGGCGTACCATAGGAGCGCCGTTGGCTGTGCTTGCCGGGGCCATTGTTGTGTGGAGCCCTCGTAAAGGCATCTTCGCCGAAGGGGGCACTATTGAAACACATTCAGCACATCCAGGGGACCGTATTAAAACACATTCAGCAAGCCCAGCACTACGCGTCCTTTACTAAAGGCATCTATACTCAAATAACCCGTGCTACAGCACACATGATTGGTGATTGTGGATTGCGCAGGTGTTTTACAGAGTGGATCCGTATTGCAGGCACCCTCATTGATGACCCGCCAGTAAAGAGATCCTCTAATACGAGTTCAGTGGCGAAGAGTTCCCATTCAAACGATTGCATGCGTCCACACGATAGACTTCCAAGCTAAATACGCATGGATTAAGGATCCTTTTGCAAAACAGGTAGCATTCTTTATTACTGCGTGTTAAATTGAAGGCACCCGAATTCAGGAACACTTGTTCAAAAGGGGTGACAGGGTGACAGTAAGGAACCGTTACCGCTTACATGGACTCTTACTCAGGACACCTTCACGAAATGCATCCACACTAAAGACGTCATACTACATGCATCCTGCCTACAGGCCCCATGACTGAAGCAAGGTTTCTTACGTAATATGTGCCCAAAGAAGCATGATCTCACATGGATCCTTAGTGGTGGCAACCTTTATCATAGACATCCCTACGAAGGCTTCCTCACTACAGGGTCTGGTCTAAAGACCCCTTGCTGAATGCATACTTACTGAGGAATGCGTATCAAAGGCACCCACACTAAGGATGTCTCACTCAAGTGAACCTCCTCCAGGGTCCCTTGATGCAGGCAGCCTTACAATCCCACGCGTACTGAATAATGCCTCAGACAGGAACCCGCACTAAGGAGGGAGGGAGGGAGAGAGAAGAAGAGAGAGAGAGAGAGAGAGAACTCATTTCCTCCTGCCACGATCCCCCTCTGTGTTATGGGCTGTGCGAGAGCGCAGCTAGGCCTCCTACCCAATTCCTCCTGCAGAAGATCTCCTTACCAATGGACCCCGAACCCCTGTGAAAGAAATTGGTGGTAATGGACCCTTCCTACAGAGAGAGAGAGAGAGAGAACGACAAAGAGAGAACGAGAGAGAGGCACATGTATAGAGAGAGAGAGAGGAAGAGAGAGAGAGATAATGAGAACGAGAGAGAGAGAGAGAGAGAGCGAAGGCCCCCCCGAGAATGGTCCTCGAAAGTCCAACCCAGCGCCTCTTGGCAATGGGCTGGAACTCAAAGGACTGTGATGCTGGAGGAAGTGGAAGACGAAGAGGGAGGAGGATGAAGACCCTGAGGAGTATGAGGCGTGAGGCCGCCCAGACCTCGTGTGCCAGAACGCGTGCTCCACAATGGCCGGGCCTCTCTTTTCGAGCAAGGGGCTTCGACATTGCCAGGGTCCCCCATGGTTCACGGCATGCGCCCATACGCGCGTGCCTAATACAGCGGGCGACGGTGGCAGTTGAGTGCGAGTATTGATTTTGTTCCTGCCTGCCTGGCTGCGTTTGGCTTCGAGGCAGCCGAACGTGGGTCCGATGTTGTTCCTGCCCGTCGCGTGTGGAGCACGGCCAGCGACGGAGGCGGCCGCATGCGAGTGTTGGTGTTCGTCCCTGCCCGACTTCGTGGAGCGTAGCTGGCGGCGGTCGACACCGCATTTTCGCAGTTTGGCAGTTCAGGACTCGGGTCTCCTCCTCTGCTGCTTGACGCGTTGGGCCAAGTGACATACCAAGAGCGTCGTTGCAAGAGAAACGTGCGAGAGACAAACAACACGCATCAACTCGATGCGTTTCTTTGTTCTTGGGCTCGGGCCCATGCTTAGGCCGTTGGGTCTGGGGATGGCAGTCGAAGAAGGACAACCACTGCATTAACATCGTTTCTCGGAAGGCCGCGCGGATTTCTTGGATCGGCGCTGGACCCCCCTGGTGGCGATTCTGGAGCTGCCCCTGGCGATGGGACTGAACCCCGCAGGATCCAGTGGACGTTAACAGCAAGAGGTTCCCACAGCTCCAAGCGAACGTAAAGAGGTGCGCCGCTAAGCACGAGTTATGCCACGCACTCGTCTGTGCGAGTTGCCAGCTGCGTTTCGGGCGGTCCTGAGCAGTGACGATTTGT